TGGTATGCGACTTTGAGGATTTTCAGAAAATCTAAATGAATAAATAAATAGCAATTCACGTGGGTTTGCCTTACAGCCAAAAAAATATAATTTTCTAGAATATAACTATTGGGAAAAAATTATTTTCTTGAAAATAATTTGTTTATTATTTGATTCAATATACTTTATGATATATTTATTAAAAAATTATTATTTTTAAATACGAATTAAAGATAAGAAAATTAATAACTACAGATTTAATGATTAAATTAATAAGTATTATAAGGTGTGTTAAATCAAAAAATACACCATTCATTTTCTTTTCTTTTTTTTAATTGTTCTTCGTCAAATTATACCAATTTCATATTGCAGTGTCAAAGCAAAAACATAATAATTTCGGACGTGCATAACCTTTGATGAAACCTATGTTCATTCTCTTCTCAAGCTTGTTTCACCTGTGTCTTCCACAAAAATTTTGAAAACCATTTCTCCTTGTTTCACTGGATACCTTCCTCAAAATCATTGTCACCCATTGCCGGAGCTAAGGGGGATCAGGCCGTAACATATGTATATAGGGGAATAAGCTAAGTAGGACATTTAACTCTCTTGCATACTTCTCTATATCATTTTGTATGCCACTCTTCTAGAAGCTAGAAACCGTCCTCGGTAGAGGAATGCTACACAAAAGGGTATAAGTGCTAGGCACCAAAGTTTTGGGCATCATCACAATTAATTAGAACTGATACATATATGTTATTATCAAGTCCAAATTAAAATTAAGAGAAAAGAGCCATGAAAATAGAACATAACTTGCGCAAGGCCGAAGCTTAGCCATTGAAACTCATGAGTTACTGAAATGGTATCATGCAATTGCATCCTGGTCATATGGACTGTAAATTAACAACCACCATTGCCCTTCGATTCTTATTATTCTGGCCATAAGCCTTGCCCCTTCATTCGATTGCCAAACTAACTGATATTATTGTTTTCTAGTGTAGCACATTGGTTAATTTTGTAATGATATTATAAGTTTTTTTATTTTTTTTGTATATTAGATGATAGATTTATAGAATTAGAATAGTTCTATCTTTCTCTTAATTTTTAATTTTTATTTAACTTGTTACTAGATTTTAATTTAAAATTTTTAATTTAAAATTTAAAATTTTTAAGTACCCATTGACAAAAGCCAAAACCCTTATTTCCTTCCTACATATTTTTTCTTTATGCAACTAACATCTCAAACTAATTTGCATGCCAGCAATCAAAATCCTCCATAATTCATAACCCGCAAAAAAACCCAAAATTATAGCGGGAGATCATGTCCCAGTCACGTGCACATTAAAAAACGTTAGTTGATACACTACGTGGCACGTTGACAATTACATGGAAATAATGTGGCTTTGTTAATCCAATTTGAAAGTTTTTTAAATGACATAGCTGTACTTCTGCACACATTAATACCACATCAGCATTGGGACTCATTTATTTGCACTATTTTTTCCGCTTGTGCTGTAATTCAAAAACAAAAAAAAAAATCACAATAAAATTTTAAATTCAAATTTTGTAGATAAAAAAAAAAACATTGAAAAAGTTTTTTTTGAAGTTTGACCGACTCGATTCTAAATTAATGAAAGTGAAATATTGTTTTTAAATACGGGGTTAGTATAATAATAAAAAAAAAGAGTTGTACTTTAAGATTTGCTTGCTTCCGTTCATTTCATCAAATCAACGCAACTAGGGGTGGGCACTTGCCACCAGTGCCATGGCAACCAGACAACCGTACTGAGAAGAGAGAACTTTGGCACAGCCGAACGACAAATTGGTAGGCAAAAACAGTAAATTGGCAATATCATCAAGCTTGCAGTACAAAAATGGCAGTAGGATCATTACTGACCTTGCCAAGAAAAGCCTCCTCTTCTACTGCTTTTGCCAAAGTTTTTCCAGTTATTAATTATTTATTTTTAAAATATATCATAGAAGATGTCGGTGCTATCTCTGCAAACATAGCCAACGACAAAGATGAAGAAAGTGTGGCCAAGTAAAATTGAAGAAGGAAAATCAAGGCGCTGGCCCAAAAGTTAAATCCAGCCCAATACACTTAATTAATCTAATAAAGCCCAAGTTGTTATATAAAATGGGGTCCATTTCTGTTTTCTAGAACCATCTAAATCCTTCCTTCTTCTTCTTCTTCTTCTTTTTTTTTTTTGGTTTCCTCCTTCCCCTAGCCTGGGCATTCTTTTTCCTTTCTCTCTCTGAAAGTGTAGGGAAAAGTGCTACAAAGTAAGTGCAAGGTTTGATCGATCAAAGTAATTTATCTTTATATATATATATATATGTTTTTGTTTTTCATGATAAAAGTGCTTAGTTGTGGCAATCGAGCAATCACTAGCAACTGAGTCGTCCAAGCCGGTGACTGAGGAAACTAAGCCAACCAAGAAACCTGTGAAAAAGAAGAAACAACCAAAGGTTCCAAAGGAGAAAAAGCCAAATAGCCAAAAGCCGCTTCGCATCCTCCTTACTTCCAGGTATTTCTCTAAATTGGCATTTTAATTGTTTTGTTTACGAGATTGAATATGCGAATTAATGGTGATTTGTGTGTAGATGATTTTTCATGGGTTAGGATTTCTATTTTATGCTGGTAGTCTCTGCAAATCTTAAAGTACCATTTGTTTTTCCTTTTTCTTTTAATAAGTGGGTCTGACTGCTAATGTAGCATTCATGTATGCGAAAGTACAACCATGTCATTTAAAAAGCCTTTCACATTGGATTAACAAAACCACATCATTTCCATATCATTGTTCAGGTGTCAGGTAGTCTATCAACTAATGATTTTTAACGTGCACGTGATCTGCACTGTAATCTCCATTGTAATTTTAGGTTTTTTGCGAGTTATGTGGTATGGGGGGTGTTAATTAAAAAAAATTAATTATGAAAAAAATATAAAGATAAATAGGAGTTTTGACCCATTAACACATGATATTATAAGTTATTATAAGTTAGTTAAGTCAAAGACTGTGGTCTAGAAAGAAAAATTAAAGGTGGACAACCATCGGCAAGCACCAAAAGAAAACGCTGACTAACAGATACCTAAAGATTCCTTGACACGCTATCAGTGGAAAAATGTTTGGTACCCATCACTTCAAGAAATTAAACAGAACTTTCTTGCATCGGATAGGAACTCAAGAATGACCTACACATAAATGCTTCAATTATTAGACCCCTTTAAATTCATGAACTGAAGAGCACCGATAAAACATGGATTTTCCATTTGGTTTACTTTATTCTTTATACAAAAATCAAAATCTAACTTTAATTTATCAACAAAATAAGAAAAGAACCAATTACTTGAAAATTTTGCAATAGAAAGAAAAATGGCGAACAAAATTAAAGCAAGGAATAATAGAAGACGATAAACTTATGAGGGAATACTAAGGTACCCTCTTTGCTGCGGGGCAGCCTCATGTGTTCAAAGCGACCTTCTCTTTTTCTTCTTTCTAGCCGTTGATTCTCTCTTCTGATTTCCATGATTTCGAGTTGGCTAGGAAATGAAATTAGAAGGTACGATTTGAGGGAAAGAAAAGGCTCAATGGCCCTTAAGGCCTGTTTGGTTATCCCATGAATCCCGAAAAATGAATCTGGCACAGCCAACCAAAAGAACAGGGAGCTGCAGATAAAATAAAATTTTTTTAAAAAAAAAACCAACTTAGGAAAATAAATTTTCTAAACAAGTTTCAAACTAAATTAGCAATATAATTAATTAACATGGATTGTGTAATATAAGTGATTATAATCTATTATCTTTTGGAAATAAATAATTATATTTTTATAATTAATTATATAAGCATATAATGACTTATACAATTTATTATAATCAAATTATATTGTGCCTTAATTTTTGTGCCACAATTTATTTTCTTAAGTAAAGCTAATTTTTTTTTTTTTTGTCAAAGAGAGTAAAACAAAGTCAACTTCAGAGGGTTGCGAAATGCCTAGTTGGGAAATCTAGAAAATTTTTAGGGAAAAGAACGATCAAAATTGCCAACTACTTTAAATATAATTACGACTTCCATGCACTGCTTCTAAGGTTGAGGTTAGTAGCACAAGGGACCACAAGGGATCACAAGGCAATGGCATATTTAGGTTTTACAATGTCTTGGCATCTTAAGGAGTTGGCTAGTTTTACATCTGTCGTTGATTTCAAAAGGCTGCAACTAGAATACTGAAGAAATTGCTCTTGTCAATGGATAAAGTTTCTCCTATTCAAAGGCCAAGAATCTCGCTTTGGTGCGTCTCATCAAATGGGATCTTGGTAGGAATCAAACTCAGAGAAACTGGTTCACATCAGTTTTTGATCAAGCAGCCAAACACAAAAGGAAAGGGATGCTATTGGTGAAACCGGTTGTGTTCTGCAAGGGAAGAATGATATTCAAGTTGACAAAGGGGCTCTAGTTCCCTTAATGAGTTTCGACAGCAAGGGCTTAAAGAGGATTGGAAAAGATGGGACCATGGTTGGGAGCAAATGGAGACAAGTGGGGTGCCTTGTGCTTGCATGGAGGAGAACCATGCCCCTCTTATTGGTTATTCTTTAAGAATATATAG